GCTGTCAAAACGGCTCGTTGTTCGCTAACAGCTCATGTTCGGCTTGTTCGCTAAGTTAATGAGCCGAACACGAACAACACGAACAAAAATTTGTTCGTTCGTGTTCGGCTCGTTTTGGCTCGAAATACTACTAATCAATTATATATATATATATATATATTTAGTACTTTTAAAAAATTTATATGACTACAAGGCTATAAAGATTTAAAATCAATTATATGTGTTAATTCAGAAAATAGAATAAAAATTATTAAATTAGATTCAAATGATGTTTAATATATACAATAATTTTTAAATCTTGCCCTAATTTGATTAGGGTTGTCAAAACGACTCTTTGTTCGTGAATGGCTCGTGTTTGGCTCGCTAAGCAAACAAGCCAAATACAAACATACTTTCTGAGCTCGAAATATAAACGAGCCGAACACGACAAAAATGTGGGGTTGGTCTTGTTTGGCTCTTGTTTTACATCCTTGGTGGTACAATGGATTTATTATATTTTTTTCTCTAAAATGAATCATATCTTCTACTTATATGATGTGAAAACTAGTATATTATGATGTTATGCATATTATTTGCTTGAATATTGATATTCAAAAAGTGGTGTCATATTTTCTTTTTAAAAAATAGTATTGTGGTGGTACATATGAGAATATTATGTTTTTCACACAAATGAACCATAACTTCTACTCCTCTCATATAAGGAAAATATATTATTGTATTATGCACCTTCTTTATTTGAAGATAATTATTAAAAAAATGTTATCATATTTTAGAGAAATGATAGTATTATGGTGATATAGTGTTGGTATATATGAAAATATTATGTTTTTTTTTTTTCCACACAAATACATCATATGTACCACTCTTCTAATGTGAGAAACAATATATTATGATGTTATGCATATTTCTCATTTAAAAATCTGTATTCTAAATGTTTTACAAAATTTTAGAAAAATGGTAGTACTATGCTGGTATAAATGAGAATATTGTATTTTTTTCACACAAATGAATCATATCTTATGATTCTCTTATGCGAGAAATAATATATTACAATGTTGTGCATCAGTTTTGTTTGAAAATTTGTGTTCTAAATGTATTGCAAATATTTAGAAAATTGATGCTACAGTGACGATAACTTTTGCTCCTTTGATGTGAGAAAGAATAAATTATGATTCATATTCTTTGATTGAAAATTATTATTGAAGAATGTTACTAAGTTTTAAGAAAAGGAAATATTTTGGAGGTACAGATGAGAATATTATATTTTTTTTCACACAATTGAATTATATTTTATGCTTCTCTGTAGTGAAAAATACTAGATTATGATGTTATGCACCATCTTTAGTTGAAAATTGCTATGCACCCTCTTTGTAAGAGTTTTTTCTATTAAAAAAATTATAACCTCTTAGAAAAATGGTGGTATAGTGTGTTGCGGTTTTTTCAATACCCATTTGAATTCGCAAATTAATTTAAACTATGTTTTAATTTTAATAACCGTTGGAATTCCTTGGTGTTTTTAAGAGAACAAAATTTCAGAATGTGGTTCATATAGTGTCTAAGTTCAACACAAGAATTTAGTAACATTCCATAATGTGCTCACATCTATTGAACTCTATGATGGGCAGAGCACTATAAATTAGATGTGATGCTTGTTGTTTTGGTCTCTAACCATGCTCTTCATTTTATTTGCACCATCGGGTTGTGAGTGAGAAAAACTTAGAAAATCTGTAACAAAAAATTTGTTGTGTGAGTTGTGAGTGTCGACTCTTTTCGTATAAGTTATGGCTGGAGGTATGTATGATCCTATCTCGTTTCCGCTAATCGATTTAAAAATTAATTTTGTAAATCGATGATATTTAGATATTACATTTGGTATTAGAGCCGTGATTAACCTCTGCCTTGCTTACTCTGTTTCACTTTGTTTATGGTAAATCTTGGTTGAGATATTAAGGTGTCCGTTCTTATTGTCCGTTTTTGTGAAAACGTTTTGATTTTGGGGCATTAGATTTTTGACGTTGTTAATCCAAAATAAAACCGAAAATCATGTTGAAATTAAGTTTGTAAGCTTTCTGTGATTTGAACCATTTATTTTGTCTGAGAAACCATCGGGTTTCCCATTCAGAATCGCGAGCTTGAACCGGGTCTAGATGACCCGGCTGAAGGATGAAGACGAGCCAAACAACTTGTCATCTGGGCACTGGTGAAAACAACGTGTCGTTTTCATTCGTCAAAAACCAGCCTCGTCATGCAAAACGACAAGTCGTTTTGAGTCAATATATATTATGTTAAATAATATTTATGCATTGTTATTCATTTTATTTGCATTATTTATGATTGTATGCAAATGTTTAACTCTTAATAAAGAATTAATTAATGTTAGTTGATTCATATAATTTTAATTAATTAGGGAATAGCCACAGCATCTTTAATCAATTAAAATTATATATTGAATTCAAGAATCACATTAAAACATTAGTTGTAATTAATCATAAGAGATATAATAAAATCTACCCATAAGAATTTTGTTATAATTATATGATTAATTATGATGAAATATCAACTTATATTTCTTAATCTACCCACATGAATTAAGAAAAAGAACATAATTTGATAGTTTTATCATAAAGTTGATAGATGAATCTAATTTAGAATTTTTGCCCACAAGCAAGATGTATGACATTAGATTCATTGAATTCAAGAATCACATTAAAACATTAGTTGTAATTAATCATAAGAGATATAATAAAATCTACCCATAAGAATTTTGTTATAATTATATGATTAATTATGATGAAATATCAACTTATATTTCTTAATCTACCCACATGAATTAAGAAAAAGAACATAATTTGATAGTTTTATCATAAAGTTGATAGATGAATCTAATTTAGAATTTTTGCCCACAAGCAAGTTCTATGTCACTAGATTCATCGATTTGAGCATGATTTACATTGGTAAGAGATGATATTTTGTTTTTGGGTCCCAAAAAAAAAATTAATGAGCTTGTATGTTCGAAAAATTTTGCAGTTATTCAACCTGCGAACATTTCTGATTTTAAGTATGACATTCCTGAATTAAAGGGTGATAACTATAAGGTGTGGAAAGAGAGAGTTCTTCCCCATTTAGGATGGATGAATATTGATTATGCTATAAGAAAATACGAACCACCTGCCATTACTGAAACCAACATTCCGGATGCTGTTGATCTTTATGAAAAATGGGAGCGATCCAATCGTCTCTCTGTGATGTTCATAAAGACAAAGATATTTGCTGGTACCCGTGGTTCTGTTGAGCAGCATAATAAGGTGAAGGACCTTCTGAAAGCCATCAATGAGCAATTTACAACATCTGACAAGGCTCTGACCAACACCTTAATTATATTGTTTTCATCCATGAAGCGCACCGGAATTAAAGGCGTGTGTGATCATATCATGCACATGAGGGACATAGTGGCTCAGCTTGAAGCTTTGGAAGTTAAAATGTCGAAATCTTTTCTGGTTCATTTCATTCTGAACACTCTGCCCCAATAATATGGACCCTTCAAAATCTCTTATAACACACATAAAGACAAATGATCAATTAATGAGCTGTTGAACATGTGTGTCCAAGAAGAAGGTAGATTGACAATGAAAGAGGGTGAAAAGGTGAATTTTACAACTCAAGAAAAGAGAAAATGAGATCAAACCAAAAATAAAAGAAAGGGTAAGATTCCTCCTCAGCCAGATATAAAGAAAGAGTCCAAGTGTTTCTTCTGTAAGAAGAAGGGCACATAAAGAAAAACTGCATCAAGTTTAAGAACTGGCTCGACAAGAAAGATACTCAACTTTCATTCGTCTGTTATGAGTCTAATATGGTTAGTGTTAATCGTAACACATGGTGGATTGATTCTGGTTCTACAATCCATGTTTCTAATACCTTGCAGGGTATACAAAACCTAAGAAAGTCAGTGGAAAGTGAACAATGCATCTATTCAGGAAGCACGATGAGTTCACATGTAGAAGCCATTGGCACGTGCAATTTGGTTTTAAGCAGCAATTTCATTTTATTTGCATCATCGAGTTGTGAGTGAGAAAAGCTTAGATATGTTTGTATAAGTTATGGCTGGTTGTATAAGTTATGGCTGGAGGTATGTATGATCCTATCTCGCTTCCGCTTATCGATTCAAATGTGTTTGTAGATCGAATATGATATTTAGATATTACATAGTGATGATATTGCAGTGATACATATAGAAATATTATGTTTTTTAATTAAATGAATCATATCTTTTGCCCTCTAATACGAGAAACAATAGATTATGATGTTATAACTTACTTCACTTGAGATTTCTATTCTAAAAGTGTTATCTTATTTTAGAAAAAGTTGACGTTGTGGTGATATATATATATATATATATATTCATAAATGAAATAATTTTTTTTCTTCTTATGTGAGAAACAATAGATTATAATGTTATGTACATTTCTAATTAAAAATTTGTGTTAAAAAAAATTATGAATTTTAGAAAAAAGATGGTATAGTACCGTTATAATGGTGGTTCAAATAAAAATAGTGTTTTTTTCACAAATGAATAATAAATTTTGTTCATCTGATTTGAGAAATAAATTAAAGTTTATAATATCAAAATACATTGATTCAAACTACAAAAATAAACTCCGTAAAATTTACACATGATAAAATACCAAAATAAATAGATTTAAATCATAAAACAGTACAAACAATATAAAACAATCTTATAATTTCAATGACAAATAAACTGTCATCTATTTAATTCATGTCACCAATTTTTTGATTTTTTATGATCAAAATTGCCCTGATAAGTACTATGCGGATTTATTGCAGTTGTGCTTCAAATTTATTGCAGTTATGGTTCGTGGATATTGCTATTCTCAATCTATTGAAAATTCTAAATAAAAACTCTAGAACGTGAAGATGGAATTGAAAAACGAAATCCAATGGCAAAAGAAGAAATGAAGATTAATTTTCGGGCTGGGTTCCGCTACAGGTATCGATCAGGATAACAATGACGTGTCCACGTGCAAATGGAGTCGGGACGGAATATTTTTTCCTAAAAATTATGTTCCGCTTCGCTGTTCTAGGTTTCTCTTGTCGGGGATCGTTGTTGTCCAGCCATGGACGTTGAAGATCCCTCTTCTCAACTGGCGGAGCCTCTCGCAGCAACTGGCAACTCCACCGCTGTAGATGGAAATGTTGATCTAATGAATAGCGATAAGGCGGAGTCCATCTGTCACCGTGAGGGCTGTGAAGCCCTGGCGAGGGCGATTTCATCAACGCTGGGCGCCTTGATAAGCGAGTTCGATTCCACAGCTGGTGGCGCCTCCCGTAGCCAGGACGACTTGTATTCGACGATCGATCGATTGACTGGAGGTTAGCATATTTGAGTTTTGCATCCTTATTGAAGTTCTAGGAGAAACATATGAACATTACCGTTTATCATAAGAATTTGTTGTTTGAATCGTGTGATTTATTGATTTGTGTTTTTATTCGTAGAATTAAGGCTGCTTAAGAGTACCAGAGAGCGATATATTTATATTTGTGTAGTAAATGTGGCATGCGGAAAATTATTTGCTTTCATTTTGTTTTAGTATGATCTTCTTTGTTATTGACATTTAAATGTCAGCCTAAGTTTTTTATTAGCTTAAACTTTTAGTCATAAATTTGCCTCCTCGTTTGTATTGTTGTTTTTAGCTGCCTTTTTAAGAGTAAAATGAAAACAGATTAATCATGTTGAATTATACTAGTTTTGTTTAGGGATTTTGTCTTTCGCTTAAGTATTAAGTGGCAACAAAATATTTGGGAACAATAATTTTACTTGCATATATAATCAACATTTTAGCTTATAAACTTGCATGAGAGGCAAAAATAAATAAATAGAATGATTGAAAATAAGGATAAGATTGTGATATTAAATCTATACCATTAGAAAAGTTAATGTTCTTTTTGTGTAGCATTTGCCCTTGCTATTGCTTCCAGTGTCACTATTTAGGCTCATTGCTTTCTTCGACAATAGTAGAACCCAAGAGAAATTAAAATAAAATTGAAAATTCAAGAGAGGGAAAAGCATTTTTTTGTTACCGCCGTTATCTCAAAGCTAAGTATTTGATTTTTATATATTAATTATAGGTCGGTTATCATATACCTTATGGATTTAGGAGCCTTCTACATTTTTTGTAGCATGATCACTACCCAACTAATGGTGGGATTAGTTATTTAGTGATGTTCTGTGCAAAAATTAGAAAATTGGTGTTCGGCTATTCCTAGATAACTCTTGTATTTAAAAAAAAAAACTCAAATTTAAAACTTCTAGAACAAATATAAACTAACGTTATGGAATTTGACTCTTTATAAATAACTCTTGTTTTTATTTTTATGTTAAAACTTATGAATAAAAATGTCTGTAGCTATAAATGCATCATGTAGTTGCGTTTCTAATCACCCACAAATAAAACACTATAAGTTAATTAATTTGGAATTAAACTTGACAATGTTAATTAAGTCCAAAACTTAGATTGAATTTTCTATATGAATTTTGAGGATTTAAATGTGAATGCTATAGTGTGTGGAATTATGATAGAGAGAAGAATAAATGAGGAGATAAAAAAATATAGGGAAAGTTATAAGTTATTATCTTTGATAGTTTTAATGATTGTGAATACCGGCGAAAGGATTTTCTTATATTTTTATAATTTTATTTTTAATTAATATTAGCGAAGGGATTGAAGATACAGGTATGAGAGAAATAGGGTTAGTGATTGGGAAATTTCTAGTAATTTAATTTTCATATTAGTAATCATAAATATAATTCATACTTTTAGTTTTCCAATAAGGCTATGGAAGTCTTTTGATGAATAGTTTTTTGGGGAAAAATGTTGGGATTATTATATTATATATGTGAGGCAAGGGCGTCTCCCACGGTCTCGAGCTGTGTGGAAGTTCGCTGCCGTGGAATTGCCACAATCTAACCTCGCATCCAAATTTCTATCTCAGCCCGGATTTACTTCCTCTTTGATTTATTTCATATTCCTTTATTTCCTATTTTTCTTATTCCTAAGTAGGGTTTTGCTTGAGAGACTATTTATGTGTTGTTATTTTTTGGTTGGAGGAGACTTTTGGCTATTTCTTATTATTTGGAGATTCTTCTCCTGGTTTTTTCCCTATTGAAGTGTTGTATTTTGGATGTCTTTCAGGTGGTATGTCTGTAGCTTGATAGGATCTAAGTGGTGATATCTTCTGGACGTTCGGAGTCCTTTGTGCTCCAAATTGCAGAAAACTGCTGTTCAGAGCAAGAATCCTGCTGTTTGCCGTTCTGACTCGCTGTCCAATCACTTGTACCTCTCCAAAATGTCATTGGCTGCTGTTTTTAGTCCGTACAGCCATCCAACTCATTGTTACCTACTGTTTCCCGCAGGGATCTAAGTGGTGATATCTTCTGGACGTTCGGAGTCCTTTGTGCTCCAAATTGCAGAAAACTGCTGTTCAGAGCAAGAATCCTGCTGTTTGCCGTTCTGACTCGCTGTCCAATCACTTGTACCTCTCCAAAATGTCATTGGCTGCTGTTTTTAGTCCGTACAGCCATCCAACTCATTGTTACCTACTGTTTCCCGCAGGAAATCACTGTCTTTCTGCTTCTGACTCGCGGGACAACCACCGATTGGCGCCAAACGGCGGACCAACAACCACTTTAACCCCCTAACCCATTCCAAATGCCATCAAACTCGCATATTACTTTTCCCTTATCATTCCACAATTACCTCTCCTTAAAAAAATTGCTTCCTAAACACCCTCTTGGAGTCCTAGATTGGTATCATCTGGTATCAGAGCATGACAAATCCTAGATCTTTACGTTTTTGTCTTCGTTGCTCCAGACTAAAATTCCAAATAACCTTAGCTAACACTGCCACAAAATGATCCAAATAATTCCTACTGGAATTCCTAGCCTAAACCCTAAAAATTTTCATAATCTAATTTTTCCTACCTTACAAAAATTACACTCCGATACCTACCGCCAAAAACATAAACATTGACCAACCTTGATTTGTAATCCTACATCCGTCAGAAATTTGAGCGAGAGGAAAATACATTTTGCTCCTAGTGAAAAGTCCGCAAAGGGATGTCCCAGAGGTTATTATGGAGCATATGCAGTGAGAAATCCTTCTGCTGCATAGTGACTTGCCTCCTTTGAGAGGAGACAAGCTGGTGATGTCACTCATGGCCATAATGGTGACTAACTAGATCAAGAGAAGAAAGTGAATCCCTTCCACTAAGCACTTTTTAGTGACAAGAATCACTATCTCGATTTAGCATGGACTATTAGAGGAGCCAGGATCTTAGAGTATAGGTAGATTTATTAGATTTCAACAGTCGTATGGATCCAACTGAGTTTATCATGTGGCTTTAGACAATGGAGCAAATTTTTTAATAGGAAAACATTACTTGTGATATTAGAGTTAAATTGACAACCATCTAACTCAGGAAAAATGCTTCATTGTAGTGGGAGAATTTGAAGTGTATTCGACAATGAGGAGAAAAGACTAAGATCATTACATGGTTCGAGATGAAAAGGAAGTTGGAGCCAAAATCACTTTCCCCACATTGTCGATAGAACATGTTCATAAAGCTTTACACTCTATGTTAGAGAGACTTCTGTGGAGCACATAATTGGCTTTGATCAACTTATGCTGAAATATGAGTTGGTGGAGCAAGATTAACACACAGTAACAAGATATCTTAAAGGACTAAAGTCATCTATCAGTAATGTGGTTTAGTTGCAGTTTTATTGGTCCTTACTTGATGTATTGTCTCTAGCATTGAAGGTGGTGAAACAACAATATCACTAGATGATCGCCACACTCTACTGGCAGAGTTCAGTCATAGAATCAGGTAGCAAGAGCTCACCCAGTGGAACATCCAAGCTGATAGCGCTAGAGGAGAAATCAGTCCAGAGTGGAGAAAATGTGGAGCACACCAACACTCCCAAATTTGTCTTACTCAGGATGTGTTTCGAGTGCTATGTTTTTTATTACATCGCTTTAGATTTCTCAAACAGGAGAATGATATCTTTTATTGAGCAAAGTGTCATGGAGGAGACAGAGCGTGAAGACTCAAATGAGAAGATTGCAAAGGAGTACTAGCTTACAACCAATGAGAGAGAGATGCTAGTGATTCAAACCAAGCTCATGAGAGAGAATCCAACAGGATTATCATTGACTGGCCTAGAAAGTAATTGGTTTGAGGTAATAGATGTTCGTACATAGTTTGAGGATGTGGTGCTACGAACTATCTTTTTACAAAAATTGATAGAATCCTCAACATGATTGGCATTGGTTGTTTAATAGGGCAGTGAAATTGAGGAGCCGGTACCCGACACAAGTCAACCCATAATAACTGAATCTTAGGGTTTTCACACACGCAATTTACCCTTTAAGTTGTCACTACTAAAGGAGGTCCAACATGTCCTAATTTTAGATGGAGCTGAGGAATCTTTGAGCCATTTTTGGAAAATTATATGGAATAAGCTGACCGATGAGTTTTAGTTCAGTTCAACAATTCATTGAGAGACATATGGTCTGATATGAATGGTGAATAACAACTGTGAAAATCACCTCAGGTGTTTTGTGGGAAAGAATATTTGACAGTGGATCCAAATCCGTTGTCAAAAGAAGAAAAAGCCACTCATAGTCAGGGAGGATGATGCGGGAGGGTCTTCTGCGATCCCGAGCAATGTGGGAGTTCCCAGTCGCGAAATTGCTGTAATACTGTCGCTCATCCAAATTCCTATTTTAGCCTAAATTTTCTTTCTTCTTAATTTCTTTACTATTTTTCTTATTCGTAAGCAGTATTTTGCTCGAGAGTCTATTTATGTATTGTTATTTTCTGGTTGGAGGAGACTTTGACTTTTTGATGTTTTTTGGAGATGTTTCTCTTGTATTTTTCTTGTCAGAGTGTTGCACCTTTAGATTTCTTTCAGGTGGCATATTCATAGCTTGATAGGATCAAAGTGGTGATCTCTCTTGGAGTTCAGAGGCCTCCTTTGTCATCCAAGTTATAGAAAATTGTTGTTAGCAAGAAACCTGTTGTATTCCGTTTGGACTCGCTTTCCAATCACATGCACTTCGTCGAAATGCTATTTGGCTAGTGTTTTCAGTCCAAGCAACCACCTTACTCACTGTTACCCTCTTTTTCCAGCAGGAGATCACTGTCTTCTCGCCTCCGACTCCCGAGAAAGCCACCATCGAAGCCAATTTGCTGTCCAACAGCCACCTTATTCCCGTAACCCATTCCAAAAGCCTTCAAACTCGCATATTATCTCTCCCTTACCATTCCACAACCACCTCTTCACAAGATCTCACTTTCTAAACACCTTCAAG